GGGTTTGAAATAGAGCAACGGGGGGCCTTTGTTGTCAAGATCCTTACTCAGTGTAAGTTCGCTTCGTCTAGATCCATGCCTCCCTGATAACCAGGTAAAGGATATAGGTTACTATCTGTAAATATCTTGTAGATTTTTCGTAGTGGATTCCATGTGATATTTTTTCCATACTTATGAATCTATAAGTATTAAGAGCTTCTGTTTGGACCTTTTTTTGGACGCACCCTCTTTGGTCAGATGGTCGTTATATCCGGAATTAACTGGACATTTAGGTTTTTTATAGAGTCATATTTAGTTGTTTGTAAATTTCTATTTGTGCCAATTCTCTACTTCGGGTGTTATTTTTAGTGTTAGAATTTTCTTTTGAGGGAAGTTAGGGTTCGACGGACATGTAGAAATTATATGCTTTCTGACACTTTATTACCACTCCCTTCGGGGGTGGCAGTGATCAGTCGACTCAAATGAGTTTGAAATAGAACCACAGGGGTAAGTCACGTATTTTAGTATTTTTTTTAGAATTTTTTTTTTATTTTCTTCAATATACAATACAAATAAAGTACTGCAGCTAGACTGCATCATTAACAATTAAAAAAAAATTATTTCAACTAGTAAAGACCACACTTTTGTAAGAAAAATTTAAGTGAACTTTTCTTTTCAACTTCAGAATGAGGGAAACGTTTTTTAAGACACACTCAAACGTCAATCAGTATGCAACCTGACAGTTTAAGGAAGCTAGAAGTAAAATCATCTTCTGCACAAATTTTAATCTTAATTGGACTGTCTATATATTCTTTTTTCTCTGAATCCTCTTCACCTTTCTCAGGAGCCTTAACAGTATACTTTTTCATGAAATCATTTTCAGATTTCGCTCCTGATTTCCTTTATATTTCTATTTGATAATTTCTTTCTTTATTTTAAACTTTCCTGTTATTCGCTCCTACATCCATTTGAGTATGTTAAGGCAATAGGCTCTTTCCATAATGAAACGTTAATCATAATCTGAATTGTTAAATTCAACTTGGATGTCAGGACGAATGCTCACCAGCAGAAAGCAAAAGCTTTTAGCAGATTTCCTTAGTTTTCACATATGATTATCGTTCATCGCGGATCTTGTTCCGTTTCAACATCAACAAAACAATATTTGTTTTAGTGGTTTTGGATCATCTTTCCAATGCAATGTTATGCAAATCATAAAGGCATTATCATTCAGATTGAGGACTTCAGCAAATTCACCTAACTTTTATGATTAAATCTCTATATCTCATGTTAGGACAAGAGTACAATCTCGTAAGAGAGCTGAAATGGAAAATCAGTCACTTATTATTGTAAGATCCTCCAGCAAACAGAAATTTTTTATAGATACATAGAATTCGTGTGGATAATGTGAACTGGTCTGCTTACTTTTCTTGCATATATATTTGTTTATTGTGGACCATCCAGAGAGTTGGATTCCATTTTCTTTAGCCACCTTTTAGTGGAATAAGTATAAATCATCTGAAGCAGTTTCGAAATTATTTTTTTGGATAGCTTGGATAGCTTTCTTTCTTCCCTCAGTTCCATTCATATAAATTTGTAAATATAGTTTTTTTTCCATATAGTATCCACAGAAAGGGAATGCTTTAATGCAGTGATGTGTATTTTATGCTTCTAATGGTAAAAATTTGATTGGAAGCTTCCAATCCAAATAATTTTATTAATAAATTGTGCTTCTAAACCTTCCAAAGGTATTTCCAAAGGCGCTTCCAATCTTCCAAGTGCATATCACTGCTTTAATGTATTCTATTTTATATGATTTCACAATGCCAGAGAGAATTTCACTCACCTTTTCTTCTCATTTATTTGGAATCTCTCTGTCTGATACAAGAATGTCAAAGAAAACCTGAATGTCCATAAGAGTTACCAGTGCCTTTTGACCATTAATAAGACGATTATAAAGATGCGAAACATTCCTTTTATCTTTTCTGTTGACCCTTCATTATCAATGGTCATGAATGGAATTTCTTGGCAACTGGATAGAGTATCATCAAGGATTATGGTTAATTCCTCATCATTTTTCAGAACTATATCATCCAGTGTTTGGATGTCTGACAAGTTTTTTCACCAAAATAGTGAATCAGTTGGCCTTCCATTTTATCTTTTTCAGACTTTGGGTGAAAAAGGGCGGAAGCGTTGAGGAACTCTGAAAGCTCAGATTGTGTTATTTTTTCTCAGGCAATTTAAGATAATTTATAGTTATACCAAAACTTAAGGTATAATATTAGCAAAAAAAAACTTTAAAATGAAATTAATGAATTGAGATTATTAATCAATATACAAATGGGAGCCAGAAAAAAAGGTGATATCCTAACATTGTATAATTGTCTATATATTCTTAGGATTGGAGAAGTATGCAATCGGAGATGCTATCATCCAAAGGAATGTAAAGTCCATTAGAATTCTTGACAAGTTCCTTACAAACAACTCAGATGCGAGGAATATACTAGAGGTGGATATGGATTTTGTGATTCACATGCAAAAAAAATTAGAGCAAATGAATACTACTATTGGAAAAAGCTGGTTAAGCTGGCTAAGCTGGATATGTGTGGATTTTATGATCCATATGCAAAGAAATATAGGGAAAGAAAGAGTATCATCAGAAAAGCTGGCTGAACTGGTTAAGCTGATTAAGAAAGGTGATTTAGAATAAAAAGTTGTCATTATCTTTATGGCCATTTTGAATGCTAAAATTTTGCCTTAAAATGAAAATGCCTAATGCTATAAGTTGGCCCTAATGACTTATCAAAAATTTTGCCTCATGAAAAATTTATAGAAATGGTAAAAAAACTTAATAAGAATACTAGAAGTATCTTCTTTAACAATTTTAGAACTTTGAGAAAACAATTTACTACTTGTCCTTAAAAACCCTATGAGGCCTATGAATTTTTAACCTCTTTACCTTTTTTTATTTTTTTATATATACCATACATGACTATATGTATACCATAGAAAAATTTTGATTTTTTTCCTAGAACTTTAAAATTTCTTAGGGTTGATAGGGTTCTTAAGAACAGATAATAAAGAATTCAATAAAATAAGCTAAGAAGCCCAAAGATGATATTAAGATTATCCCTAAAAGACTCCTCAAGAATTTTTTTTATAGGGATAAAGAATTTTTATAAGGATGGCAAAAAAATAGCATACTCATCGCTTCAACTTAGATTAAACTATAATCAGACCTCAGAAGTGCTTATAATATCCTGCTAATATGCTGGTAACAAATAAGCAATAATTGGATTGCAAGATGGTGCACTTCTAGCAATCAAATAGGCTGAATCAAAATAATACATATTGCATCTTCAATTCTGGATACAAAAAATATGTGACATAAATACATATATATTGGATTCTAAAACATTCCTAGAACATTCTCATCATTAGCCTATAACTATGTGAAGGTATTTTGTCACTAGAATAGTATTACATAATTATGACGCAGTAAGACGCAGTATAAATTCGCTTAATTTCAACTAGCACTATTATATAAATTTAGTCAGAACTTTAGATATAATAATTTGTTACTCAAGCTGACATAAAACTGGAAAACTAATAGAACCTTCCAGGCATCCCGCCAGTTCCATAACAGTTTCAGGAGAGTTCTATAATATTACCAGGACACTATTATGACACCAAATTGGATTCTCAAATCACATGCCTAAAAGATCAATCAGAGTTATACTATAGAGCTGGCCAAAATTAATCTCAAATACACTGCGTCACCTATCATCTCTTTTTTTACAACATTTCAGTATTTTAAAAGGCAACCAAATAGGCGAAAAGGATAAGCGCCTCAATAAAGAATCAAGTATCCTATTAAGCACAGATAGCCAGCACTCTTAACATGAAACCAGATATTCAAACAAGGATAGAAAGCCAATACCAACAATATAGAATTTATAATATAAACAAATTAGAAATAAGAAGAAAGCAATTATCATTAGATCATGACATCACCATTAAATTAAAGCATTACCATCTACCATTAGACTATGAAATCACTACCACTATAATATACAGGAAACGATTGAAATAATAATATAAATGCAAAAAAGCTACCTATATATATGTTATAAAGTTACTACCAGATTATGGATAGTAGGTTATGAAGTTACCACCAGATCATGAAATTAGATTATAAAATTACCATCATATTATAAAGTTACCAGCAGACTATGAAGTTACCATTATGTTATGAAGTTATCAGTAAACTATGAAGTTACTATTATATTATGAAGTTACCGGCAAATTATAAAGTTACCTTCATGACCTAACTCAAGTTGCATATGACTAACTTATTACATTATCATTAAGATTGCTAGATGAAATCAAGAGATAGACATCTAAATGATAAAGGTAAAACTTGGTTAAATTATATTAAAATTTTATTAAAAAATCTGTGAAATTCAGAAAAAGGTAAAACCATATCAAAACTTATAAAAATATCGAAACTATATCAAATACTTAGTAAAAATTTAATAAAACTAAAGGTTTAAATGTTTAGTCAATCCAAATGAGTTTAGATAAATAATCTTAATCATCATTCTATAGATCATTGATAATCAACAATGTAATATTGATTTGTAATATTAATAATATATATTATTAACTAAAGAATGTTATGTTGACATTAATATTGAATTTTTTTTCAGTTTAATAAAACTATCTTTTATAAGTATAATGAATATCTTACTTTATCACATATTGTGATGGTTATTTGCTGATCATTTATTCATTTTTATTACATAAAAAAATACTATAAATATTAATTTTGTTAACTTTAATTAGAAGTTTCTATATAATATTATATATTGAAATTTCATATATAGGAGTGTTTCTAATAAAATCACATTACACATCATATGATTTACTATGCATCATGACTTGATTTTACTGAAAACATTTTTATATAGCTTTATTTAATAATAATGAAATTATATATTAATTTTTAGATAAGTTTTACTAAAAGAAACTTTTTGCAATTAAACATAAAAAAAGGTTAAAATCATATTATTTTTTTAAATTAATTAGCTCTAAGTGAATTATCTAAATAATAATATATACTAAAATTTTATATACTAATTCACATTTATTTAAAATAATAATATAATGGTCGAAAAAGTAATTAGAATTGTATTTTTATTAATTAAAAAATAAATATGTATCATAAATATATAAAAATTTATATTCATTTCCTTTATAATCTTATGAATAAATTTACTTAAAGATATTCAATAGATATATTATTATTATTATCTTCAATTACCAGTTCTAACCTTAATTTTTATATTATAAATTAAATTAAGAAAATTTCTAACTCAATTCCCTTCTATTCTTCTTGAATTATTTCATAAAAAGTATTTACAGTTGCTGATATTTTTAAGAATCAGTTTGTTAATCTGTTTTTCTATATTTTCTTTAAAATTATTCATAAATTTTTATTTGGATTAAAATCTAGACTATTTGATAACTGGTCAAACAATCTTAGAAAACATTCAGAAAGATTTTTTTTGTTTTCTTAGCCATATGGGAGCGTTTCCAGTAAAATCACATTACGGATCATATGATTTACTATGCCTCATAACTTGATTTTACTGGAAACGTTCCCATATGCTTAAAATCATTATCTATTGAAATACCAAGTATTTTCATATAATAGAATTTGAATTTTCAAATAAATTTTCAGTAAAAATTTTATAATAAAAATATTCACTTATTATTTCTGTAAAAAAAGAAAACTATTAGAGCTTTTGCTGAAAATGCATCTTATATATAAACTTTATATAGATAAATGTTTTACCATAGGTTTTATAATAGTTTTGTAAAAGATTTTCTGATTATTTGAAATATCTATAATATGTTTTTATCAAAAAAGACTATATTATTCTAATTTTATCTTGTATTTTATAGCAAACTTTACTTTACAAAGCTTGTATTAGTTAGTTAACAAAGGTATAGATTTTGGAATAGTATTAAAATCTGTAATTAATATGTTACAACTTTTAATGTTGCAACATATGTTGCAATTAGTTTTAACACATATATATTGCAACTAATTTTAGCTTATGTTACAACAAATTGGAATTTGAAATTAATCTTTAGTATTAAAGTAATTAAGATTATTAAGTTTATTAGGAATGTACTAGAAATCAGCTGATTATAGCTAATTAGTAGCCCACCACTTGATCGAATTCTGATTGGTTAAATATATAAATATATTAATATATAGGAGCTTGTCAATAAAAAAGGAGGAAATCTAAAATTTTACTTCATATACTAAATATGTTTTTTTTAGTAAAATAAGTTCAGATTTAACATTAACTCATAAAACTTTTTTTTAGATTTTCTACCCTTTTATTGACAAGTTCTCATATATAAAAATAATATAATTATGCAAATATTTTGCCATCAAGTAATCCAATTTACATGAACTTTTTTTTTTTTATAAGCCTCTTTAAATTCTATCAATTAAAAAAAAATTTCATCCAAATTGGACTACTAAATACTAAGACAATTGTAAAAATAATTGTAATAAATAAATAGTAAATTATTTATTAAATAATTATTATATAATGACTTGCTGATTCGTGAATAATTTAATTAAAAAAAATCACATCGGAGTTATTCCTGTGGTACTGGAATATTGATCGTACAATAAATATTCTCTAAATTAAAGTGAGAAAAGTTTTAATGATCGTAAACGAACCAATAGTAATAAGTTCATGATCGAATTTTACGTTCATTTTTTAATGATCGAAAATTTACATTATTTTTTAATATTTTTTTTTCTCAAAAATTTTTGATGAATCAATCTTGGCAAAAAATTTATCCGATTCTGCCTATAATGAAAATTATATTTAAGGAGGCATTCTTTATTAAATTATATTATTACACAAAATCTTTGATGCATAAAAATTTGTTTTATGTTATAAAATTCTGGTAAAACATTAAAATTAAAGAGTACAAAGATATATTAGATAACAAATTCCTATAAGTTTTTTTCTGAATTTGATTTTTTTCTTCAATTTAGAAAATCCCCCGTCTTTCACGAACCCTTCATTAATTTATTATTATTTTTTTTTTTTTAAAAAAAAACCGCATCGGAAAAAGAATGACAAACATTCAAGGTTATTTATTACAAGTTTATAATAAAATATGGTGATTTACTCTAGAAAAAGTGACTCTAATTCGGATAATATAATTTTTAGCAGCACGTGTGATTGAACCACATAGTAATGCTGTTCTTCATGTTGGAGAACGACACATAATCCAATGGGTAAGTATATTTTTTACAAATTCATTGAAATTATCCTTCTACTTTGTATTTACTATTACCTTTTTCCTTAATAAAAAGGACACATCTTCCAATCCAACTATAACTGATATTGTGTCTGCGAATCTCTATAAAGGTTTCGGCTCAGACATTAAACTTATACAATCAATCCCAATTAATCGTAAAGCTTCAGCAGGATGTTCCGAACCTTTTGTTGTGCCGAACACAACGAGAGGTTATGATTATTTTTTCAATTTAATTGGAGGAAATGGCGAAGTTCTTGCTAGCTATTATTTTAATATTACTGCTAATAAACAATATACTCGGTATTATACTAGATAATTATAGATGATAAAGCTCAAAATTTCCCCCGCTATTTTTCAATAATTTTTGTATATAATAAAACTCCTGTTATCTGATATAGTAAAAAATATGACGTGTATTGTACGTGGGAATGGTTTGATTCACGCCACATTATAAAAAACTGAAACTTTAAAAAAGACGTTAGTCTAGTTACACAATGTTTCTTAAAACGCGAATCAAACTTGAAAAGAATACATTTAAAAAAAAAAAAAAATACCTACAAATAAATACTTTCCTCCGGTATATTTTTATTTTATATTTTTCACTTTCAAAGTTATTTTTTTTTTCTTTATAAAAATTCTTCTTTTTTAAAAATGGGTGAACAAATAAGTGACAATTTTGGTCAAGAAAGTTTAGACCTTTCGGTAAACGGAAATAATGGGTTCAAATTTTCAATGGACTCTTTACCCATTAAGCCACTTTCCCCTTCGTTACCATTAACTACAACAAATTTACGTTTTGCATCACAGGGTGACCTTGGAAAACTTTTTGCTATACAAGGGAACTTGGACAATGTTTCTTCGTCTCCTTCAATAGCTGATCAACTTGAGCCACAGCCTCATTTCATCCGTAAAATAGCTCGCCCGATACCTCCTTCATTAAATACTAATATTACTCAGTTATTAATGCAACATCATAATATTAACAATAATATGAACATTAACAACAATAATAATAGTAGTAGTGGTAGTGGTAATAATAATAATAATAATAATAATAATAATAATAGTAATAATAATAATAATAATAATAATAATAATAATAATTTCGCTTCTTCTTCGTCACCGAGTCGAGTTGATAGTCCTGATGAGACATCAGGTCATCGAAGGAGAGATAGCAATGTCTCTGCAATGTCCATACAATTATATGATGTTATTGGTTCTGGTCATCAAAGACGAGACAGTAATGTTTCAAATATGTCAATGCAATTAGACACTCCTAGTGAAACAGAATCTGGTAATGAGGATGAAAGTAAATTAGCTTTTTTCCCTTTCACATTTTCCCAAAGACCTTTATCAATGTCAATACCTGGAACCCCTACAACGCCCCCATCTCATATTTCGAATTTTTATTCATCTACTACAAGACCATTAATGTCTCATCACCCTCAACGTATAAGGAGAATGAGTTTAGATCTAAATGTGGACAGTAATGGAGATCCAAAAATTGAAAAACCGTCACCCATGCACCGTGCGGTCAAGGCAAGGAGGGCCTCTCTGCTGGTAACAAAATTATTTCCTTTTTTTTCTCTTAAAAGTGAATGATATATTTAATAGTAAAATTGTTGATTAATTAAGTTCTTTAAAAATATAGCCAAAGACCAAATCTTTTCAACGAGTTGTCAATGAGCTTCAAGAAGAATTGCAACCAATTGAAACGGAAATTAAACAAGAATATAAAACTACAAAGGTCCTTAAGAATGAATGTGATAATTATATGGATACTGGAAAATTACCAGATGTAATTTTAATTTTTATCAAATATCATTTAAAATTTGTAATTTGTATTAATTTTTTCCTACCGAAATAGGAATTCCTAAATAATTGGATTAAATTTCGAGATATCCAACCATCACCTCCTGTTTCAAAATTAAATCCCGAGGTTGATATGTCGGTGAGTGCTTTGATAATTTTATTTTATAAATTTTTTTTTTTTATTACATGATAATTAAAGTTTTAAATTGTCATCAAAAGTTTCGACAAGATACTCCTTCACCAACCTCTTCTGTTGGAGCTTGGTCTATAAGTGGTAGAATAAAACGAAAAGGTATAATCATATACAATATTTTCATTTATTGCCCCATTTTATAATGTATGTTAACATTTTGTTTTCCGTAAAGCATCAGAAGATCGCTTTGAACCCTATTTCAACCCAAAAAGACGTGCTGTTTCACCAAGTTTGGCTGCAAGTCCACCAATTGTATCAAGCGTCCCATCTCCTCCAAATGTTGCTAATTCACCATCATTCTCAGGGACAGCTTCATCTAATGGAAACTGCTCAACAAGAGGACAAATAAAGGGTAATAGTAATTTGGTTAATATGCAAGATGCAAATGGAAGTTTTAGTAGAATGAGCTTAAACGGAGAATAATTAATGTTTATAAAAAGGAGGATTGATTTATGCGTGAATTGATTTTCGAATTATCCTTATTTTAATCAGATCCAATTGATTTAGATTTACCTTTTTGTTAATATTTATTTGTATATAGTTTTTTTTTTAATACAATACAAACATCTAAAACATGGACAAATTTCTTTATCAAAAAAAAATTTTGAAATACACAGTTGAGATATTCTGTGGTTTAAATAAAAATTTTTATGAACTATTAAAATCACGTTACAGATCATTACTCGATAGAAAGAATTTATTAATTTCGAGACATCAAATTAACTTTAAATCATTAGCTTTAAAGTAAATTATTTTTATAATAACTAAAGATGGGCATGTAATTACTAGATTACAACTAGTTGTAGATCCTTAAATATAAGAGTTATAATATAAAAGTTCACAACTAATTGCAACATTTTAGGTTATAATCTGGGTTGCAACCAGTTGCAGATTTTTCAAATCAATTATAATATCTATCATCTTTAATAATAAATTTAAATAAATGTTTTATAATAAAAAATATATAGGGCTGATTGAACTATTATAATACAAGAAATTTAAGTAATTATTTTATTATAAATTATTGATAATTATAATAAAAAAATTTTGATTCAATTAGTTTATTAAATCAAAAGTTTAAACAACTTTTTTTTAATTAAAGATATATTTTAATTTTTAATATTTATATGTAATTCTAATTAAAATATTATTTAAAAACCTTTTTAATAAAAAATATATAATTAAAATTAATATTTTACATTACATTTTTTAAATTGTATTTTAATAAAATATTTATTATAATATATATAAAGATAAAAGTCAATTTGGATATTAAATTGATTGAATATTAAAAAATCATTTTAGATATATAAATTAATTTGAATATTAAATAATTATTTCAAAATTGAAATTAAATTAATTGGATATATTAAATCCAAAAATAAAAAGTGTGACTATAATAAAAAGTGATTATATAAAAAGATTTTTAATAGTATTATTAAATAATGATTCTAAAAGGATGTAATTATAAAAATATTGTGATTAATCATTACTTTTCATATAACTAAAATTACAAATACTTTACATGCCTTACATTTTTTATCCTAGTTGGATCCTGAAGCAAAATCTTCAGATTGGGATTATATCTTTCATCAAAAAAAAACCATAGTAAAAATTTTTATGTAAAATTAATTAAAATGAAATAATATAAATGAGAACATAAGAGATAAAATTTTATTTTTACATTTTACAATAATATATGTCATATACTATAAATTATTGCATTTTATTATTAATAAATAATCCAAATAATATATGCTCTCAAGATAGATCTATTAATAGTAGAACTAAACAAATGGTTTTTGAATTTTAACAAATAAAAAAACTACATTTTCTAATAAATTACTATCACATGACCATATAATAAATTAAAACTATTTTAGAACACAGCTCACCTCATAATCACAATATTGTTTTGTTTTACCTATTTGATCCTATTGCATTTGATATATAAAGTATATCAAAGAAACTATATCACTTTATAGCTGCATATAGCTCATTAGTACAGTCAAACCTTGATATAGCGAACTCTTGATATAGCGAATTTTTAAATCAAATATATTAAAATTACCTTTAC